AGGGAGTTTTGAGAGACGATGTCTCACTCATAGAGAGATAGCTAGCTAGCAAGCGTCTCTTCTACAGGGGGCATTCTCTCATAGCGCATCGCCTCGATGTTCGCATAACTGGTATGCTGAAACCGATGAATGCGTGAGGAAAACGGCCTCTTCCATTCTTTCTCGATCTCAGTATGGAGATCAGGAAGGAAAGGAAGGCTCACTGGAGCTGGAGGGTTATGGCCAGAAAGATAACATTTCTCGAGACGACCTCGCAATGTCACTTCCTTAGTCCGCTTCCACGGCAAGTCAAGCCTCGCCGTGGCGCGATCCATAACCTCTGTTTAGGCTATAACACGTGTTTGTAGCGTTAAGCAATGCAGTGCTAAAATTTGTGTGCTCACGAATCTTCTCATTATAACACGAATTGTAGACATTATGAAAGATTCATTATGCATATACTTATTGTGTTATAACCGAGATTTGTGAGATTGCGATGAACTGAGATGTCTTTTAGAGATTATAAATGCAGGGCTCTGTGCATGGTTTGGCAGAATACCAGCAAAAAGCAGCCGCTTGCTTTAGTTAAAAATAACAGTGTTCCGTGAATGTTGATGCTTTAATAACCAATATTTATCAGGAGCGTGTATGCTGGAATTTCATAAATTTCATGGAGAAAATGTAACGTAACTAGTAATGTAACTAATTACTTTTTGAAATAAAGTAATCAGAACAGTAACGTGATTATTTTGAAAATGTAGTCAAATTACTGGTTACTGATTACTCCTTTTAAGAGTAACTTGCCCAACACTGGTGATATCCATCACACATCCATGGCTCGTCTTCCTGATTTAAAACAAATATTTACAATATTTCAACAGCATACATTAGCTCTTACCCTGCCTAAACTAGCTGATCAAGGTCTTAAAAGGCAATCTAAAAACTTCCAAGATGGGTGTGTTGAGGCAAGTTGGAGCTAAACTCCAGGATCGAGTTTAGACACCCCTGGCCTGGCATAGGTCTAAAAATAAAACAATTACAAATCATTTTGATTCTTGTTTATTAATTGTTTTGTGAAGTCCAGAATTATTCTAGAATTGTAAAATAACTTTCTGGTGCATGGTTCTTTTCAGATGGAGATAAGTCATTCATGGAGCAATAGATGTATATTCTTGCCTGATAACATACTTGAAATGCAATACAGACAACAGAGCTGCCACATCATGGTGGAGAAAACACACAAGTGGCATTGTTCATGGTGTGGAGCACAGACGCCACATCACAGAAGTGCACAATCAGAGGATTGAGCGTCTTTGGAGGGATGCTCTCCTGCATGATTTGCACACTTTCTACAATGAATTCTACAGCCTTGATGACAATGGCACCCTAGATCCTGAAAATAACATTCACAAGCTTTCTCTTCAGCTTGTGTACTTACTTGAAATACAAAGTAGACTGAGCAGGATTTGTGAAGCGTGGAAGCATCACTGTCTAAGGACAGAAAATAACTGAACAACCTCTCAGATCTGGACAGATGGCATGCTGACAAACATGGGAGTAGATAGCACCTCTATCAACCATGTATTTGGTGATGATCCATTCAGAGAGCACAATATAGAGGCACTTCTGGCACAACATGGAATTCATAACTTCCCGGTTGAATTGGGCGACCAGTTCCCTGCTGTTAATGTCCAACAACCCAGTGTTGATCTTAGCTAGGCGCAACAGGAAGAGGTTTTGAGAGCCATAGAAGGCATTGCAGACTTGAAATTTAAATATCAAATGTGCTGCAATGAAATTTCCCATCGACTGTCACTGACTGAGTGAAAACAAATTTGAAAACCTACTTGGTTAATTTGTTGTGTTTTAATCTTCTTATTATTGTAAAACCAAAGCATTAGAACATTTGTTAATTGTATGCGGAGACATTAACTTTAGTCAGGTTTTACAACTTCTATTCTGCTAAACATAAACATTCATAAAAAGCATTAACAAAATATTTTTTCATGTTTATATAGTGCCCTTAATATAGTTTTTCTTGCATATTATATAAAAAGTCAACACCCTTTCGAAATACTGCATTGGTTTATTTTAATTATGTACATTTCACAGTTATGTGCATTAAATTTGATGCAATACAAAATTTGATGCAAAACTCTTTCAGACCCTTTTTGAAACTCATTTTTCAAAGTCAGTAATAAAAACCGTTTAAAACTCTTTCAGCATAAAACTAATATTTAAGGTTCACAAATTTGTTGAATTGTCACCAACTATCATTTTCTAAACTCTTTGACCATTTTTTTACTTTGCAGAAGGTAAATTGAGTTCTCAATGTTTGAAACCCAAAACAACAAACTTATCAACAGCTTGTGTTTCCCTTTGCACAAGAGCTATGACATGTGCTTGCAGTTGGAAACTTTATTTCTCTCTGTGAAGCATTCCAAGGTGAAGAATTGGTGCAAGAACTCAATGGATGGCTGTGGCTTTAATCCAGTTGCAGGCAGAACACTGCATCCAGTTGCAAACTTAAGAATTTTGTCTAGTGAGCAGCTCTGTAAAAATAATGCATAAATAAATATGAAAAGGCTGAGTAATTAGATCAGGGGTGTCCAATCCTGCTCCTGGAGGGCTAGTGTCCTGCAGATTTTGGCTCTAACCAGCTTCAACACAATTTGCTGGAAGTTTCTAGTCAGTCTGAAGGCCTTAATTATCTGGATCAGGTGTGTTTAGTTAGGGTTGCCCTCTAGGAACAAAGAGCATCTCGCTGCAGCCTGCGGTGGACATCCAGCCCTGCCCATATCCAAGTGTGACGCCAGATGCCACGCCCACATGTTCAAACCCAGCCCACCCGGATGTGACATCATAGGCCACGCCTATATCCAACTAAGTCACATTCTTATTAACTTTGAAACAGGAAAATGAAGAAGTTGTTTTGTAATCGCCAGAAAGAAGTTGTTTGCCATGTTTGCCAGTCGCCCAGAAGAATAAGAAGTTGTTTGCCACGTCTGTAAGTAAAGAAATCTTTGGTTCGTAGCCTGGTGTAATTCCAAAAGTATTTATCATACTGTATATTTCTGCTTAATAGAAATGTCTTCAATAAATTCTCAAGGATTGTAATGTGGCACACGTAATCTTTTGGTAGGCATGAAGTGAAATTAATGATAGCTATGCTACAACGTTTGTTTTGAGCCATCGTAAAGTTACCAAGACTTAACCCTCTAAGCGCCAAAGTCGCAAAATTGGGACAAGACGTCATACTTAATAAAATAGGCTGTAGATCCTAATATGGTGTAATATCTCATTTGTATTCCCTACCACTAGATGGCAGACATGACGTAATTTTGGTCTAGAATCGAAGTACTACATGTTCCTATTCAAAGTGTTTGAGGAAAGAGCAGAGCAAGTGAGCTTTCGTGTCATTGATACGGAAGCAGTTCAGTTCAGAGCGTCTGAGTAAATTGTGAGATTTGTGAGAGAAAATCGCCAAATGGCTAGTAAAAAGTTGTACCGTGAGGATGTGTTGCAAATGTTATTCACCGATTCTGACTCTAAAGGGGAATATTTGCCTTTTGGAAATGACGATCTGTCGTCTAATGATCGCGCTTCTCCCGGTACATCTTTGCAGCGCAATGGTGCTGCCGTGCAAGGCGCGAGTGTTCACGAAACACAAACAAGTGATCATTTCGACACTTTGCCCAACGGGGATGGGGGTGGCAGGGGTGGACGTGGTCGTAGTGTCCATAGGCCAAAACATTTGCCCTTTTTTCAGTAAAGCATTGCTTTTATTTTGCATGTGATGAATCCATTTTTTTTTTTTTTGGTAGAGTTTGCAGACTCTCTTTTAGTGTTCTCTTCTACTGTCAATGACACAGTTTTATATTTCCTCACAACCTGGAGAAACAACAGTTGGGATGGCTAGTAAATTTTCTTGTACAAAATTCTTTCTTTGGACTAAATTCTTGCATGATAATAATACATAATCTTCAGATCCATTGTCAGGACTTATGCTGGTGCAGTGGGCCCTGGGTTCCTCTTGGTGCATGATAATGCCTGGCCTCATGTGGCTATAGTGTGTAGGCAGTTTTTAGATGAAATGGCATTGATGAAACTGACTGGCCCTCACATTCCCCAGACCTGAATCCAATTGAGAACCTCCGATACATTATGTATTGGATCATCTGAAGCCGCCAAGTAGCACTACAAACTATCCAGGAGCAGGAGATCCCCAGGACACCATCAGGCATTTCATCAAGAGTGGCCCCAGACATTGTCGTGAGTGCAAACAGGCACGTGGGGGCCATGAACACTACTGACTTGAGTTCATCAAAGCAATTCATAATCTAAGTTGTAACTTCAGCCTGTAACTTCAGTTTTTACATAGATTTTTGGTGTGATTTTGCATCCTGTGTTTATGATTTTGGTTTCCATTGACTGCTGTCACATAATTTTGTGATATAGAATGTATATAAATAAAGATTTTCAAATGGAATATTTCATTCATTGACACCCAAAGTGATTTAAGAGTTCCCTTACATTTTTTTGAGCAGTATATTTTAAATTTTACAAGTTTCAGAATTTTACAAGATCAGAAAATATAGAAAAGGTTTAATTTAAAGTGTGTTCTATGAAAATAAAACAAAAAAATAATAGTGTATCGTGGCCAATAATAGTGGCCACGATAATAGTGTAGTGAAAAATCTGATACCGTGACAGCCATAGTTAAATGGCAAATATATCCCTAATTATAGAATAACCCATATTCAAACAGCTGTACAGTTGTAGTGAGTGCACACAAAGGCACATGCATTACTGGTATATAACCAACAGAGGTCTCCATTGGATGACAAATATCAATATGCATCAGTGTTAAAGCAGATTTGCAACTTCAGTCATGTAATCACATGTAAAAGGAGGTAACCAGAGTGCTGAGAGTCACTGTGAGAAAGAGAAGGAGAGAGCACTGAAAATTAGTGAAGAGATTCTAGAGCTGACTATTCAACATTACAAGGCTTTGTGCAGAAATGGCAACTATTACAGGTAATTGTTTTATCTGCAAATAACAAAATGCTAGCATAACAGCTAAATGGAAAGATATTGTACTGCTAAAATTATTTTTCACTTAATTTTTCAGTTCTTGGGTGATATAAGAATTATTTAAACCTACTTAAATACATAAAACAAATAAAATTGTTATAATTATGCTTTTAATATATGTAACAGTGTAGGAAGCGGACAAATTTATTGAAGGATTATGTAACATTAAGCAGTATATTGAATCAAAATAATAATAATAATAATTTCACTGTCACAAATAGGGTTGGTTGGTTGGTTGTTTTGTTATGTTTCTTCAAATTCCCACTTGTGGAAATTTGCCATTTGGGTATTGAATCATAACTTTTGTTACCTGAAACATTTGACCTGTTACCTGACCCTATACATACACAGTAAGTTATATTTGTAGATGCAACCAATTGAATTAATATTATTAAAATTAAAGAGATGGCACCTGCTACGACACAAGTGATGTACTTAAGACAATTGTAGATACATTGATTTCATTCCAATTACAAAATGTACATTAATATAGATATTTCAATTTAAGGCACAACCGTGCAGTTGCAGACTGCATGCTAAAATATACTATTTCATAAAACAAGTCTCTCTTACTTCAGGAAATCTGAGGATTGTGCTGCTGGGTAAAACTGGATCAGGAAAGAGTGCAACAGGAAACACAATCCTGGGCAGAAATGCATTTAAAGAGGACTTCAATCCAGAATCAGTTACTCAAGATTGTGAGATAAAAAACTCAAGAATAGGTGCAAGGACTGTCACCATAATTGACACTCCAGGGCTGTTTGACACATGGATGGGTGAAAAGAAGGATAAGAAACTTGACACACTGATGACTGAAGAAAGACTGAAGGATAAAATACAGAAGTGTCTGGAGATGTCTGCTCCTGGTCCTCATGTGTTCCTGCTGGTCATGAGACTGGATCAGAGGTACACGGATGAAGAGAAGAACGCAGTCAAATGGGTTCAGCACAACTTTGGAGAAGAAGCGTCACGCTACGTCTTCACTCTCTTCACTCATGCTGATTATCTGAAGAAGAAAACACTGAAAGATCATATAGAAGAGAATGAAGATCTGCGACAGTTTGTTATCAGCTGTGCTGGCAAATATCATTCATTAGAAAATGACAACAGAGAGAATCCGTCTCAGGTCACAGAACTACTGGAAAAGATAGATCAAATGGTGGAGAGAAATGAAGGAAAATACTACACCCGATCAATGTATACACAATTCAAATTAACCTGTGAAAAACTAACCAATGGCTTATACAGTAATGTTGGAAAAATTTTAGCATTAATAATAGCAGTAGCTATAGGGTTCATAATGTTTAAAAAATTTGGTTGAAAATGAGGTTGAAAGTGATTAAAAGCCTGTCACTTTTATTCAAATGTATTTGTTTTAACTCATTTTATAAATATTGACGTTGCCATATACAATCAGGAGTGCTTCAAAAGAAAATGTCTTTGAATAGCATTGTTTGTTCACCACATCCCCACTGAAGGCTTTTATCTATGGTTAAAATAACTATATTGTTTTGGATATTGATATTGCTATTTACCCGTTTCAATTATATTATATTTGCTTGTTTTTAGGTTAATACCATATATGCCTTGATATAAAGATGCTTGCACTTGCAACATTTGCTTTGTTAGCATCAAACTCATAAGCCTAATTTAACTTGCTTATTCATCCTATGTAATCAAACACGAAGGTTAACAAGAGGGTACACAGTAGTGAAGAAAGCATGTTTCAACATCAAGCGTAGGTGAAGCAGACGAAGACTACGATGAAGAAGAGCAAGAGTGCTAGACGCAGACAGCAATTTAAGCAACAAAGGAAGGACATCCGTCTTAGTAAGCATGAGTGACAGAGATTGATACACCTACAACAGGTAGATTGGATCATACAAGACATGGAGGAATTGATGACTAAGATGATGACAAAATGGTGTTAGGATTCCCCAAAAAGTAGTATAAAAAGGTCTGACGAGTAACCTACTCTTCAGATGCTGCCTGCGTTAAGCATGAAGGACACCTGATACCCTAACGAGGGGCGCTTAACAGCATCTCCAACATTTCTCTTTAGAGTTTGATTATAGAGCTCGTAGCTTAACTGATTTTGTTTTATTTTTGCATTAACTGCTTTGTATTGTAACTAATAAAATAAGAGATTCTATTGTTATGATTGCCTCCTGTGAGACATTACTTATAACTACAAACTGAGCATCAAACAAGAACAACCACAAGGGAGTCTTCTACGTCACTCCTAAGGAACTTCAACATGTGGGCGGAGGAGTACTACATGGTTTAGGCTTAATTTGACTATTATTACCCTACCTGATTAATCATAGGGTTAAAGGTGTAAGATACAAGGACACACCAAGTAACAATAAGTAAAATTTATTTATCTTTGCTTTATAACAATTCTTCTTCTGTAAAATTTTAAAACATTGATTTACAATTGAATTATAACATAAGTCATTTATTAATTTGAGTTAATTTTGCAAAAACATGCATTCTAGTAATGCTCAAAGAACTTGTTTATCAGGTCTCAGTGTGAACGACCCACTCCTCACTGCCAAAGGTCCAGATTTTTATTTTATTTTTTTGTAATAAACGAGTGTTCTTTTAAATAATGGCAAAATGATGGCCAATAATTCAATTCCAATAATTCAAATAAAAATGATCAAAACTAAAATGAAGCCCTAATCTTGTGTAAACTTCCGTGACGTCCCGGGGCTATTGTGTCTTCCAGTCAGGCTACCAAAATGTATCAGCGCCCTTATCTTAACTAGAGATCCAGCAGGTCCTTAAAAAGTCTTGAATTTTGTTTAGTTCAAATTTAAAGCCATAAAAAGTATTAAATTCCATAAATGTTATTTTAAAAAGTCTTAATCATAATTTCAAGAGGTTTTACATTTGGGAACGAAAAAACAAGAATCGCATTATGGATTAAGGCTGATTTCATTGAATAAATAGGAGCGCGCCACATTTCAAAGTCAAAATGCTGCACGGGTGTTTTTTTATTATTGTATCTTTGCATGGAACTAACTGACTTCAGAAAAGTTTCGATGGCATTTTCATTTAATCTTTCAAAACCACTTTATTCTTCAATGCGGAAGTAAACCTATGGACAAGACTTCCGGTTCATTAGCTGCTATAGGGAAATAATAAGAAGAATGACAACACGCGGTAAAAGGTCAAAATGTTTGCACTGCAAACCAGTGTGTTCATAATTAAGACAATACATTAAAATAATAAGGTAAAACACACCAGTTTGCAATATCAAGCATCAAACCGAGCTGTTTTGTACAGCCAAAAATAGCTGGACGTGGGTGACACCAGAAGCCAGTCTCATAAAAATTACATATTCTTCCCACTCTTACGGGAAGAATAAGGTGGATAATGCCTGATAAAATTGCATTTATGAGTGCACCGCTGCTTTGTTTACAGCCGTTACCGGGGAAACTGCTGTATTTCTGGTGTTCCAAAAGCGCCTCAGCGTGACCAGTGTCTGAAGCTGTGATACAAATGTGACAATGAAGTTGCCTGACAACAGTCCGTGACGTCACTACTGGCACGATCACTGGTATAAAAGGGGGGCATGTAGGACACATCATCAACTTTTTGTCTGAAGGAGACGTGAACAGGAAGGCTCAAAGCATGGCACCAGTACAGAGTGTCTCGTTCCCCTTCTCAGGGAACCATGGTTACATACGTAACCTGGGACGCTCCGCTTTGATTGGGAACTTGCACTGCATCCTCTAGTGGACACTAGGGGGAACAGAATACCCACTAAACCATGCTGAGGGAATGAATGCCTAATAGATCTATGCAACGGAGTCAAATTCCCCGGCCGGGACTTTCACGGCCAGAAACCCAAGCTCCAACCCTATGCAAGGAAAGTCCCAATGTTAAGCCTTCCTCCCTTCTTTACTGGGGCGGGTGCCAGTGCCCATCCCAAGGGCAGAGCTCAAGAACCTACTTCACACCAGGGCCCAGAGACGGTTACCTGAGAGAGCTTGAGGACTCAGCAGGACGAACCTTGGGAGGAAGGGGAGTCCAAGCTCTCAAGAATCATGAGGTCCAACCAGTCTGAACACTTTCATGAAATAATAATAATAATAATACCAGCTAAACCTAGTTCTAGGGTTTGACTGGAAGAAAGAAGGATAGAGGAGAGGGTTGTTACACCCCAAGACTTGTGGGTTTAGTGTTTGTTTGTTTGTCTTTCTTTTTTTTTGGTGCTGATTTGGTTTGTCTTTCCTTTTCGAGGTTAACGCCCCTGTGCACCTGCAACCTCCTCTAAAAGGAGACGAGGAACATGGACGCTGGTGGGAGCTGAAGGCGGTGTTGTTGCTAGTCGCATGATCACTACAGTAACCGTTTAAGCTCTATAAAGAGCGTGACAGCGGATCTGGTTTGTCCTATATGCACTTTCCAGCTTTATTGTTTTAGTTTGTTGTTTTTGGAGGTATTCCGGGGGAGAGAGCAATCACTTAATCGGTACTCTCTGAAGACTAGTTAGGATGTAGTTTCTGGTGTGTAGGTAGGTCCGGGGTGCGTGTGGATTTTTTCCCCTTATTTGCTCTCTGTGTTCTGTTTTCTTTCGTTAAAATGGCAACTTTTGAATTAAACAAATTTATAGATCAGCCCAGTGTTGAGGGGTTAGAGGCATGTCGGAAAAATGATCTGGTTCTGATTGCTCAACACTATGAGATTTCTGTCTCTAGAACGCAGCGTAAAGGTGAAATAAAAGCTTGTTTTGTGGCTAGTTTGATTGATAAGGGGGTATTTCCTTCTATAGAGGCTGTTTCCACACAAGCAGCTGCTCCTGTGATGAGTGATAATATGGGAAGTTCTCCCTCACAAGTGCCGGTCGGTGATTGTGCTACTCCAGTGACTGCGGCTGGTGGAGATGTAGGTCCACCTTTTTCAATACCCAAATTTGAACCAATTTCACTTTCTACGGAGGCCTCACCTAAACTTCATTCAAATTGGCGTGTAAAGATTCGGTTAGCTCGCTTACAACTAGAGACTCAAGACAGAGCTCAGGCAAGGCAGGATGATTTGAAACATCAGATTGAAATGTATCGAATTGATGCTGATACAAAAGTGTGATTAAGGCAAGTAGAATTACAGGCGGCTCAAGGTCTCGCCCCGCCTAAACAAACGACTTTTAAAACACCACCTAGTCTGAATGGCACTTCTGAGACAGCTGTTCGTCCATCAAATTCGAATTTGAGTATTTTGTTTAGTAATTCTGTTTTGGCCACCGCTGATTCTGTAGTTGTATTGTCTTCTACACATTTTGATGTGGCTAAAAATATTGCTATAGTTCCACCTTTCCATAAGAAGGAAGTGGAGGTGTACTTTCAAGCATTTGAACGAATTGAAAGCACTTTAAAATGGCCAACTGAGGTTTGGGCTGTTAATGCTTAGTGTGTACTTTTTCTTCACCAAAAGAGTACATACTTTAAGGGCATAGTATAAGTAGGCACATTGAGACGCAGCAATAGTCTCAGAAAAATGGCTGCAGGGATCTAATTTTTCATGGTATCTTCTTCAGATTTGAAATATAAACTCATGAGACGTGACTTTCAATCCATTACTTTTTTGGATTGCTCCAGGACTGATTTCATGCATTTGAAATTATGAAATTTTTAAAAACATTCAGTGTGGTACAATTTTTTTTTCAAGGCACTTTAGTGTTTATAACTTTTTATCTTTTTGAGCATTATCATCTCTGGATGATGGATAGTAAAGCCCAAAGGGTCTTCTTTCCAAAGACACCAACATTGTGTGCGTAGCACACTGTTGTCAGGAAGTGTTACCATTTTAAGTTAGGTAGGTCATTTTCAGCTGATGTCTGATGTCTTTTTTCAGCCTTTCGTATTTGACGGATTTGTATCTTTGGATGATGGTGTCGAAAGCCAAAAGCCTGTATTTTAAAGCCCCGAATTTTACGTGAAACCGGGGGATCTCAGTCATTTATATTGTCGGGTGTTTTAGATTTTTGTGGGGACTCGGCATGTAATACCAGCGCGGTTGTGCAGGGTATTGAAATGGGTTTTGTAACCGTTCCTCTGCATCGTGTGTGGGTTACCTCTGATTTGGCACCTGGGTGTTTTGAAGTAGCAGTTCGCCCCTCATTACCTGTGAAGGGTATCAATTATATAATGGGAAACAACATCGCTGGCGGTAAGGTAATGACGGTTGTACAGGTGACTGATATCCCACATATTCATTCACAATCTGATGTAGTCCTACTTGTTAAAACTTTTCCAGAAGTGTTTTCAGTTAGTGCAGTGATGACACGAGTGCAGGCAAATCGTGACATTTAAGAGAACGTTAACCTCAGTGATTGTTTTTTCAGAAGTTCTGGGAAACTATACTTTCCTGGAGTCTTTGAACGTCGCTGAAACGACTCAGAGTTCACCTGTTTGTCTTGATCTTGTTGCTGATGCGTCAATTTCACGTTAATCTTTGTGTAATGCTCAGAAAAATGTTGTGTAAGTGCTGGGAATAATTTGCCATTGCCTCGTAATCAACAGTTCTACTGGAATGATGCCATGTTGATGTGTAAATGAAACCAATCATTAAATGTTGAGCAGACAGATGAATGGAATATGGTGCATCAAATTGTGGTGCCTTTGAAATTCCGGCAGCATGTTTTGAGTCTGGCCCATGACCATCCTTGGTCTGGACAACTTGGTATAAATAAGACCTATAACCGGGTGCTCCAGCATTTCTTTTGGCCAGGATTAAAAACTGATGTCTCGAAATACTGTAAATCATGCCACATTTGTCAGGTTGGTGGAAAACCTAACCAGGTGGTGTCACCTGCTCCTCTCTGTCCTATACCTGCCATAAGTGAACCGTTTCAACGTGTTCTTGTGGATTGTGTGGGTCCACTTCCTCGCACTAAATCTGGGTGTCAGTATTTATTGACGATCATGTGCATAGCTATTCGGTTTCCGGAAGCTTTTCTGTTAAGAAGTATAACTGCTAAAACAGTGATGAAAGCTCTTACGAAATTTTTCACAACCTTTGGGTTACCGAAAATTGTCCAAACGGATTAGGGTTCGAATTTCGTATCTTGCGTATTTCGTAATGCCTTAAAAGCGCTAGGAGTGGCTCACATTGTGTCAAGTGCTTATCACCCTGAGAGTTAAAGGGCTTTAGAGCGCTGGCATCAGACATTAAAATCTGCCTAGAGACTGTAAGTACTGCCTAGAGACTGGGCATGATTGGGACGAGCAAGTTCCTTTAGTTTTATTTGCAGTGCGCGAGGTGCGACAGGATTCGCTGGGATTTAGCCCTTCAGAAATGGTGTTTGGGCACAATGTTCGTGGTTCTTTAAAAATGCTGAAGGAGGAATTCCTTTGAACCGGTCCCTCTGAAAAGACGAATGTTCTTGATTTTGTCACTGGTATCCGTGAACGTTTACGTAATGCTTGTACTGTGGCGAAATAAGCTTTCTCCCTCTCACAGGAGAAAATTAAACACTGCTTTGCGTTTTCTATCAGGGGAAAAGGTTTTAGTCCTGATTCCTACCCCTGGCTCAGCTTTTACTGCGTGCTTTTCGGGTCCCTATGTGGTTAAAAGTAAAGTGAGTGAGACAGACTACATAATTCATACTCCAGATCGGAGGCGGAAGACTCGTTTATGTCATGTGAATATGCTGAAGCCCTATTTATGTTGTGATAAAGCAAAGGGATGAAACCATTAATGCTTCTGTGTGTGTGAACCAGTGATCGAATCAAATGAGCAAGTTTCGTTGCTTACTTATAACTTGCCTATCGATGTTGTGGATGATGGATTGAATTTAGCTATGGAAGTTGTGAACGGTGGTTGCCTGAAGAACTCTGAAGTTTTATTGATGCTTCCCTCTCAATTGTCTTATCTGTCTAATGAAAAGCGGAGGGACATAAGTAAACTGTTGGACAGCTTCCCAGAGATTTTTAGTGACGTCCCTCCTGGTATCTCTGTCATTCAGCATGACATCGATGTCCGCAGTGCATTACCAATTATTGGCAGGTGCATCTAACTGAGTGTGCTTCTAACATTTCTGCCTTCGTAACCCCCGATGCTTTCCTACAGTATACGCGGATGGCGTTTGGCCTTCGAAACACACCAGCGACGTTTCAGCGGTTGATGTCCATGGTTTTGAAGTTCCTAAGTGTAACGGACATCTTGATGACGTAGTCATTTATTCGTCCACATGGGCTGAACATATATCAACTTTACATGATGTGTTTCGCCGTTTAGCTGGGGCATCTCTGACCTTAAACCTTAAGCAATGTGAATTTGCGAAGACTACGGTCACATATCTGGGGAAGCAGGTTGGAAACGGTCAGGTACGGCCTCTAGATGGAAAAAATGACTGCTATCCTTGAGTATCCAGTGCCTACTACGAGGCGACAGCTGCGTAGATTTCTGGGGATGGTGGGGTACTACCGGTGTGTTTCTGTAAGAATTTTTCGAGCATAATTGCTCCTTTAACTCGATTATGTAGTCCTAAAATTGTTTTCAGTTGGACTAATGAGTGCCAACAGGCATTTCTGTCTGCAAAATCTCTTCTTTGCAGTGCTCCTGTGTTGTCGTCCCCAGATGTGTCCCGTTCGTTTCAAATGGAAGTGGACGCCAGTGCTGTCGGAACGGGAGCTGTCCTTCTAGAGGAGGGTGCTGATGGAATATCTCGCCCAGTGTCATACTTCTCTATTAAGTTTTGTTATGTATGAATAAAATAATAATTGTTACTTTAATACGTAAGTAATGGGTGAAGTCACGTAGCGATGACGAAGTGATTTGATCTAATAATACAAGTGCAATGTGAGCATTAAAGACACAATGGTTATTTCTGACTATTCTTTAGTGTCCTCTGTCTTAAGTAGAAAAGGGAAAGACATGACAAAGTGGCGACGAGGATGTTTGAAAGAACCTCTAGGTGTGTGAATTGCCGAATAGAAGTGTAAAGTGCAGTAAACAGCTGAACTTGGCAGCGTGAGCTTTTGAACACGGAAAGACAGTATGGCTGGCGTTATAGGAAATATTGGACATTTCGACGAAAATGTTAAACAATGGAGCTCATATACAGAGCGATTTTAATATTTCCTGCAGGCAAACCCCATTGAGGGTGAGAAGATTGTGCCTACTTTTCTCAGTGTGATGGGTGCAAAGACCTTCATTTTGCTACGCAGTCTCGTACAGCCCGCAAAACCAGTTAAGAAAACTTATGCCGAGATTGTGGTGGTGCTAAGCATTTTTCACCTAAACCATTGGTGATAGCGAAAAGATTTCGGTTTCACAAGAGAAATCAAGAAGAGGGAGAAACTGTAACTATGTTTGTTGCTGCACTGAAGAAACTTTCCGGACACTGTGAATTCAGTGATGTTTTGAATGATACAATCAGGGACAGGCTTGTATGTGGATTAAGAAGCAAAGTCATTCAAAAAAAGACTGTTAAGTGAAAGTAATCACACATTGCAGAAAGCCACTGAAATAAGTGTAAGCATGGAGCTTGCTGCTAAGGAAGCACAGAAATTCAGTAACGCAGATAAAATTCATAAATTGTCTGCTGACATGAACACGTTCCAGAATTCCCCTGGTAAAGCACCTAAAAATGCAACATGTTATAGATGTGGCAAAGTCGGACATCTTGCATCTGATTGTTGGTGTAAAGAATTGGCGTGCCGTAGTTGTGGGAAAAAAGGCCACATAGAATGTGCTTGCAGAGGAAAACAAAAAGACTGCAAAACGAAAATTCAATAAAATGCCTGGCACATCAAAGAAAAAGAAGAATGTGTATACAATGCAATCAAGTTGTAAGGAGTACACAGACGACACTGACTCATCTTTGGAGGAAGTTCCTCTAAAAATTCTAGCCATGGAAGGAGACTCTAAAGGCTATTGGGTGACACCCGTCATTGAGGGAGAGCCGGTGCGTATGGAGATAAACACTGGCGCTGCTGTTTCTATCGTGTCAGATGCTGTGTACCACGAAACACTCAAACATGTCTGCCTAAAGCCCAGCAATATAGTGTTGAAAACATATACGGGGGAGCCTGTGGCCATGAGAGGTGTAATGGATGTGGAAGTGAAATTAAACGGTCAGTCAGCAACACTGCCGCTGTATGTGGTTAAAGAGGACTACCCAGCTTTACTTTGATGATAATGGCTGGAAACAATGAAACTGGACTGGCCGATGGTGCAGATGGTATCAAAGGGAAACACTGAGCTTAGTGCTGTTCTGCAGAAACTCGGTACGATGAAAGACATTACGGCTAAACTCGACATCAAGCCTGAGAGTAACCCCAAGTGTTCCAAAGCCCGTTCTGCGCCATATGCTATCAGGTCAAAAGTTGAGACAGCTCTGAAAGAGCTGGTAACCAGTGGAGTCATCATACCAGTGAATAACAGTGAATGGGCTACGCCTATAGTACCTGTGCTAAAAAAAGATACGTCTATTTGAATTTGCGGTGACTTTAAAGTGACAGTAAACCCTGTACTGTCTCCTGACCAGTATCCACTTCCCCTCATTGATGATCTGTTTCCTGGTTTGGCAGGGGGAAAGTGGTTCAGCAAACTTGATTTGAGTCAAGCCTACTTACAAATGAAAGTCGATAAGAGCTCTAAAGAGTTACTGACAGTTGTCACACACAAGGGACTTTTCAGATACCAGCGTCTTCCTTTTGGCATCACCTCGGCCCCGTCGTTGTTCCAAAGAGCCATGGATCAGGTGTTTAGTGGCCTGTCGGGGGTGCACTGCTACTTAGATGACATCTTAGTGACAGGAAAAACGGAAGCAGAACATCTGAGTAATCTGGATAGTACACTCCAGTGCCTAAAGGAACATGGTTTAAGAGTGAGAAAAGACAAATGTGAGTTTTTCAATCAGTCTGTTGAATATCTTGGACATGTGATCGATGCTGATGGACTGCACAAGGCACCTTCAAAAGTAAGAGCTGTACTAGAAGCTCCAGCACCACAGAACGTCAGCCAGCTTTGCTCATTCGTAGGTCTTCCGAATTACTATGGTCGATTCATCAATGGCTTAGCCACACTGATGAAACCTCTACACCAACTTCTGTGTAGTAACCAGACATGGGAATGGACACAGCAATGTGAGACTACCTTTCAATAAGCCAAGAAAGCTCTGGTGAAGTCTGGTGTGCTGACCCATTTTAATCCAAATCTCCCCTTGCAGTTAGCCTGTGATGCGTCACCTTATGGTGTAGGAAACAAAGCGGAGAGCAAGTATGCTCAAATCGAGCGAGAAGCTTTGGGAATCATTTTTGGTATTCGGAAATTTCACCAGTACCTGTATGGCAGGCAGTTCATACTGCTGACTGATCACCGGCCTTTAACCACTATTCTTGGGCAGCACACAGGTATCCCCTCTCTGGCAGCGAGCCGAATGCAGAGATGGGCTCTGTTGTTATCAGCACACACATATGCAATAAGATATCGGAAGGCAGAGCTGCATGGAAATGCAGATGGTCTATCAAGACTACCATTACCCGTGACATGTCCCGAGAGCAAGCAGAAAGACATTTTCTACTTTGAGCAAGTCACAATGGCTCCAGGGACATCAACACAGGTGAGAAGATGCTGTAATGAAATTACTTATTCATTTGTAATTGTAGGGAATTAATTATCATTAATTCATTCAGGTTTTGAGAGGACTCGGATCTGAATATCCCAAGTCCACCTGATTAAACCGATTTCAAACTTAAATGGTTTATACCCTATCAGCTACTTGGCCAGCGAGAAGATGTCAGTGTATATTACCAATTGAATATGTATTTTATGTTCTCTTAGAGAGGTAACGTTGATCTTGGCGAAGTTTTAACCTTGAAATTATATGACACCAGACGATTATTTATAAATGAAACATGAATTTTATTGGCTATTCTAGATTACATAAAACCTAAACTAAAACACACACATACAGTTTCAGATGACGGAAATGAGAGTTGACGGGGTTCTATGAAGCTTCCAAGTTCTAACTCGTTTTACGAGTGATTTAAATTCCCCTTAGAGAATTTACCAAGCAGAGAATTTGTCTTAATTTTACTGCTTAAATTAGCTCAACACCAGTTCAGCAGATTTGAAGAGTTTGTTCGTTACTTGCGTTCTTTGGTTGACAGCTGAAAAGCTGAAGTGATTCCGTGGCTGACGCGGGCTTCCTGGATGTCTGTTGAGGGAACCCCATTGCTGATTGGTCGCTGAGGTGGCGTCGGAATGACGTTTGAATGACGTTCTTTTGGGAAACCCCTCATTGGATTGGTTGGTTGCCGGGTTACGAAGAGCTTCGGGTTCTTCTGAGAGAGAGAGAGACTGCTTTAGCAAGGCTTTGCGTTCTGCAGAGTTGTGAAGCTTCAACTGAAGTGTTTGAGTTCTTAGATGGTCTCGCTGGTGAGATGGTACGGCGTGGGGCGCTTTAGTCGCGCTCACCAAGGTGAAAGCCAAAGTTCTTTAGAGTGAGAGAGCGAGCACGAGTGTAAGACAGCGCGAGAGGGCTTTGTGTCCAATTTTAAGCAGGCTGTGAAGCTTCAACTGAAGTGTTTGAGTTCTTAGATGGTCTCGCTGGTGAGATGGTACGGCGTGGGGCGCTTTAGTCGCGCTCACCAAGGTGAAAGCCAAAGTTCTTTAGAGTGAGAGAGCGAGCACGAGTGTAAGACAGCGCGAGAGGGCTTTGTGTCCAATTTTAAGCAGGCTGACTTTTGTCCAGCCCACAGGTCGCTGTCCAATCAGATGGTGGCTTAGCCACGCCCCATACTGTTCCTTATCATGCATGAATCGCATGCTGTTTGTGGAGATTATTTCTGAAAGTTTTAAATATCTTCTGATAACCGTATTATCACCAGAGAATGATACAAAATATAAACATTTCACTAACACCAATGTTCGGCGAATAAGACAAGCTCTCATTCGAGCTCAAACAACAGGTATTTTGCATACACAGTAGTCGTAATCACTAAAAGAAAAGTTATAAGGTCAAGATTGTGGTATCCTGGTTTCGATAAACACATCAAATATATAGATACAGCATAACACATACAGTGGATACATTTTCACTACTTATACGTTTTTAAACAATTTGTCTTTTAAAATAGTCATGCAAGGTTCTGTTTCTGTGTCTGTGACACACGGAACAATCCAATACTGTCTGCAGCTATGGAAATGGTAAAAGATGGACATGTCCCTAAGGATGTCACCAACATGAAGCCATACCTGTCTATGAAGAACGAACTGTCGATTCATTCAGGATGTCTTTTCTGGGGACAAAGAGTCATCATTCCCCCATCGTTGAGAAAACCGGTCCACCAGCAGCTCCATGTCGGCCATTGTGGTATCGTGTGAATGAAGGAAATGGCACAAAGTTATTTTTGTTGGCCAGGTCTTGGGGGAGACATTGAAGGTAAAGCAAAGTCATGTCCATCCTGCCAGCAAGTGAGGAACGAACCTCAATTGGCCCCATTACACCCGTGGGACTGGCCTGTGTAGCGTCTGGACCACTCAAACACACAATATATATTTTGTTAGCTAGATTTAACAAATACTCTGTAACACCCCAGGAAGCCGTAACAACCCTGACACCTGATACATTTACGACCTCCTGGAATTTAGGTGAAGAAAATCACTTCCTTGCCCATAAGGAAAATCCACAAGGGAAGGACTTTTCTTTGCTAATTAATTAATAGGAAAACCTTTCTTTGAATGAACACACATGATCCTT